GCAGTGTAATTAATTTTTTCTCAAGTTTCATAGTACTGACTTCCTAATAAGATGCTTACAAGTTAAACAGAACTTACAACTGATTTCGTCGCGTATCTGGCGGATCGATAGAACATGGGTGGCCTGAATGGCATATTAGGTCTGTAACTTTCTTCTACATTTGTAAAACGATTCTCAAAGTTGCCAATCCCTGGCAAATTGACATCCGTTTCCTGGAACCTTTCCGACATGAAACTCTCGGCTGGAAACCCGTAACCATAAGGAGGGAACATACCCTGACGTTTCTGTTGATTCACCTCATCGCTGGCCATTTCTAAAAGCCAAATCAAATGATAAAAATTGTTGGAATCGTAGCCGTGAAAAATCGTTGCACCATTTATCTTTTCGTTCACTTTAGTCCAATCTCTGTCTCACTGTTCACTTTATAAAACGAGAACTGCTTACCCATTTGAATCGCCTGCGACATTTGCTGATTCAAGTTTTCTAAATTGTTTCTCTGCGGGGATCGCTTCTCCCTGGGCCCCTTGCAGCTGTCCATGATCACATTTCTGACGACGTCTTTGCAGTTCTTTGGCCTCCGATCGATCGCCGATACCTCGACGACCGCGAGGACTGCCGCCACGACTAACACGGCTCGCATAATATTTATCGCGATTAGAACGTATTGAAACGCATAGGACGCGGGGATTACGTGACGGTTCGTTGGCCCTTCGACAACTCGAGGCTCCGGCCGCGCTCCTCCGCACTTTTAACCACGATCGTTATCCGTGCGGACGTGTTGCGGAACCGATATTGCAATCGCGTTTGTTTACCCGGTAGTCGCATTCCAAGCGTGCACGATACGCTTTATTAAACGCGTTCGAAGCGTACGGAGGCCCGGCAACAGGTGACGATTCATCAATTATTACGTGTTGCCCACTGCGACGTCATCAGGCACCGTGAAATCCGCGTTCAATTTAATTTCGAATCGACGATGGAATAATACATCCTCTCCTGCACGCTGCAAAATAAATTGTAAAAAAGAAATTACCTCCGTTCATTTATTAATTATTATCGATTTCATAAGAAATTAGTATTGAAATGGCACTACTAAAAATGGTTACGGCTAAAGGAAATATATGAATTTCTGGATTTTAAAGGAATATAACTTGAGGCAGATTTTGCAATCAGCTAAAAAAATGTAAGTAATCGTAAGCTAAAAAAGGAATGGTCACGTACTAATCCTGACGTCACTAGGATGCACCTTGCGCGACAGAATTACGCCTTTTCCAGGAAGGAAAATTTCCCGGCGCGAATTAATTATCGAGCAAAAAAGAATGACTTCCCAAGCGTCCGCGCGCGGATGCAATTCCGCCGATTAAACGGTCCGCGAATGTAACGATCATAAAACTCGACCGAGGAAATTGCAAACGCGAGGATTAATTAATCGAAACGGCGCGACAGACGGACGGAATAAGGCATTGGAAACAGGCGGGTTGCGCTCCACAAAGAAATGCCGACGCCGTGACGAACGCGAAACTCTTCGTGCCAATAATGACGAATATTCTTGACGAGCGTCTTCGAACTCCGCGAAACTAACGTCGAGAAGAGAGACGGGCGGGCGGGCGATTGCGGAAAGATGACCGGGGCGAGTTGAACGCGTGTCTGACCCCCTTTGTGCGTGCAATGGCCGCACCGCGGCTCCGTGCCGATATAGGAGTTAATCGAAAAAAGTAGGCAAGACAGAGGCGAGGGGGTAATTGGGGTTCGGCTCCGGCGTCGCGACGAGACGTTTGCAATTAAACCGGCGCTCGATCTAAGCAATCTAGCCTTTAATTTTATCTGACGCCGTGGTAGTAGAACCGTCCGCTTAATCGGGGCCGGGATCTCGAAAAATTACCGCATCACGAACGGCGTCTTCTCTGTTCGCATTTAACTCTGCTTATTGGCTATTTCTTGGTCAATTAGCGATTCGTTGCGGTAGGAATTAATGTATCATTTTTTACTGACAACGAAAGATAGAATTAGATAGCTGTATGAAATGTACAGGGTGGTTCATCAGACATTACCACCTCGATTCTCATCGTTATTATTATACGTAGCAAAGAATGTTCGTATATAATGTTGAATGATTTAGAGAGGCACATTCTGTTGTGACCTATTTTGTAAGTGGACGTGTAATAGAGATATGAAGGTCGTCAACATTCTTTTAAATGGGATTCACCAGAATATGTCTCTCTTGAAATCATTCAACATTATATACGAACATTCTTTGCCACGTTTAATAATAATGATGACAATCACGGGACTAATATCTGGTGAACCACCCTGTATATTTATTTTACATATTTTGCGTTCACAGTGTCAGGCCTAGTTTTTATCATCCGTAACAGAAATAAATTGTAAATAATATAAAATGACTTCAATAAATTGTATACATAATCTGAAAATCTGATTGATTGTACGATCCTTACAAAGCTCGCTATTTTCATCGATTTCATTATTCCATTTATAGTTATAACATAATATGCTGTTCATGAACATAAAATGTTACTTATTAATAATTTATATTAATTAATTACTAATGAATTTAACTTAGTCTTGTCAGCCAAAAAGTAGGACTTGGTTTACATTTTGAAGAACATAATCGTTCATTCCTCCATGCCCTTGCACATTAATGAAATATTTCATTTCATTACCAGTCGACCTCATATTCCTCTAAAAGCTTAAATTAATACACAAAATTAATACATAAAATGAATACACAATAAACAAATACAATCATATTTTAATTTATTAGTCTATATGAAATCTATATAAGTATAAGAAATAAATTTTTAATACATCTGAGATAGAAATTGTGTACATATTTGAATTACTTTAACGAATGTTAAAGCCTGTT